GTGTGGTTGGTGTGGTTGTTGTTGTTGTTGTTGTTGTTGTTGTTGTTGTTGTTGTTGTTGTTGTTGTTGTTTGTTGTCGTCGTCCAACCCGCGACCCACCCGCGACCCATTCGCGACCCACCCGCGACCCACCGCGCGACCCACCCGCGACCTGCCCGCGACCCACCCGCGACCCACCCCGCGACCCGCCCGCGACCCACCCCGCGACCCATCCGCCAACCATCCGCGACCCACCCGCGACCCACCCCGCGACCCACCCGCGACCCACCCCGCGACCCACCGTCAAGGGAGGCCGGATCCGACAATTGACGTTTACTAAACTGCCCTGGGCGTTGACTAAACAACCCTGCCCTGTTCGATTCATTCCTTGTGTGCGTTTACTAAACGGCTTCGCTTGCCGGAGTGGTTATTGTGGGTTGGATTTTCTGCCCCCTACACACGCGACCCACCCGCGACCCAACAACGACCCGCCGGCGACCCACCCGCGACCCATTTGCGACCCACTCGCGACCCACCCACATTGGTATGGCGAAAAAATCGGCGCTTAGGGCGGGCTCGTCGTACAATTCGTGAAATTTTGACGCTTGCGGCGGGGTTCTCCGGAATCTCGCAAACTGCCAACGTCCCCGCCGCCCCCTTACTCTTATCCGCATTTGCGGGGTGCGACGTTTTTTTTTCCTGGGAAAAACATGGGAATCGAATGGACATCCATCGGATTATTTAAGATCGTCGTTGGAATCCGGAAGATATATATATATATATAAATATATATATATATATATATATATATATATGTATTGGATCCCTGTGGACATGCATAGGAACCCTTAAGAAATCCATTGGATTCTGTTGGAGATCCGCCGGCTCCTTTTGGAACGTGTAGGGATGCCTCAAGGAATCCGTCGGATTCCTTTGGGAATCCGCGGGCTTCCTTCGAAAATCTATAGGCTACCTCAAAAAAATGCATGAGAATCCAATGGAAGTCCTTCGGAGACCTGCGGGCACCGGTTGAATTCTTCCGGGAATCCATAAGACCCCTGAGGAACTCCATCGGGAACCGATGGACATCCATGGGGTTCCTCAAGATGGCCATGGGGATCATCTGGCAATATGTCAGATTCCTATGGCAAGCTATAAGATTCCTCACGACACCCATGGGATTCTTCTGGACATCCACCGGATTCCGATTGGAATGTATACAAAGGATTCCTGAAGGTGGCGAAGATGATGACGACGATGAAGATGGCGAAGACGATGACCTTCGTTCTCGCGGCTCTTGGCGCTCGGCGAGAGTTGGTTTCTAGAACTCGCCTGAGATATCAAGGTCCACGGCGGTTCTCGGCAGGGAACCTACCTCTCTTGCGCACAACCTCAAACCACTCGCACATGCAGGCTCGTTGCTTTTCGAGTCGCCCCCGCGCGGGAGGCACTTCGAGCGCGCCGGCGCTGCAGCGTGTGCGTCCTCGAGGCTGCCGTACTTGGGCTCTGTAACGGCTGTCGCTCGCCTCGGGCGCGCGCCTAGGCGATGCCGATAGGCGGCTGGCGGCCCTCGCCCCAGATCTCGCGCAAGGCGCGCTCGACCCGCTCCGTAGCCCAGAACCCGCAAGTCCAGCCATCCGCTTGGAACGTCGTTTCGCCGATCGCAAGGCATTCCTCGGCGGGGCCGATGGCGCCGAGCTTTGGAAAGATTCTCGTGGCGGCCCGCTTGGCGCTCTCGGGCGGCTGCGTGAGGGCGTCGCGGTGCTCGACGGCCGCGCCCGCCCCCTGCTTGGACGCCTGCGGGTGGGCGTAGTGCGCGGGGGCCACGGTGCGCGCCGCGATCAGGTGGTGCTCAACCTTCTCGACTCTCCCGGGTTGCTGGGCGGCGGGCCCGGGCCCGTCCTCGCCCTGGCCCTCTCGGGCCCAGGCCACGGCCGCCGCGGGCGCGATCTCCAGGACGTTCTCGGGGGCGCCCGCGCGCTCCTTGATCTCGCCGAGCAGCGCGCGCACTGCGCCCAGCTCAAGGGCGCCACCCTTCTCGACCTGCTCGCAATTCGTGATCGCGCACTGCTTGGCGAGATCGGTGCGCCGAGGTGCACTGCTAGAGGCCGGTGCATCGGTGAAGAATCGGGCACGCACTGGCTATGCGTCGGCAACGTTGGCGACGCATCGGCGACGTCAGAATGGAGAAAGACGGGCCCCACATCGAGCCGCATCAGCGATGCGGCGGCGATGCGGCGCGATCCTCCGACACCATCTACTCGGATCCCATGTCGGAGGCCTAGACCTGCACATGCGCCAATCTAGTTTGACTGGCTTGGGGAACTTGTAGTCCTGCTCGACCATGACCTGTGGCGCTTGCGGATTTCTTTACGAAACCCTTCGGATTCTTTTGAAAATCAATCGGGTGCCGTAGAACACCCTTTAGGTCAAGACAATACAGAAGACCCCTTGAGACACCCATAAGAATCCGAAAAGGATCCAGTGGAATCCCGGGGAAATCCGAAGGAGTCCGCCGGAAATCCATAGGAATCCGATGGGCACGCATGGGCCCCATGAGGACCCAAGTGGGATTATACGGAAATCCATCGTGCTCCTTGGGTGATCCATCGGTTTCCTGAGAACATCCAGATGATTCCTCAAAGAATATGTAGGCTTCCTTGGGACATGCAAAGGAATCCTTAGGACATCTATACAAATACTCTGGAAACCAACAGGAGGAGGAGGGGGAGGAGGGGAAGGACGAGGACGAGGACCCCCAGGACCATTTCCCTAACAAAACTTCGGTTCGGGACCTTCGATACTTAATTGTGAAACTCAATTCTGTTTAATCAGTCTCAAAGTGACATGTGTGGGAAGGAACCCATGGCGGCTCATTTGCAGCGATGTGTATATATATATATATATATATGTGTGTGTGTGTGTGTCAGTATAAGCAAACACCCAAAAAACCCGGGGCGGGAGCGCAAGGAGAAGGAGCAAGACGATTCCTTAGGGAATCCATCGCATGCCTTGGGGAATCCATCAGATGTCTTAGGAACCCGATGGGATTCCGGAAGACAGTCATGAACTTCTTTACAAAAGCCATAGACATACTGAGTAAATCCGAGGGATTCTAAAACACACCCATGAGAATTCGATGGGAACCCATAGGATTCCGGAAACAATCTAAAGGAATCCTCCGGACATCCATAGGACTCCTCAAGAAATCCATAGGAGTCCCTCAAAAAGCCATCGGAACCCTGTGAAAATCAAAAAGATTCCTTCGGGTACCCGTAGAAGTGTTAAGGACATCGGGATTCCTTTGACATCCATAGGGTGCATAAGGAAATCCATAGGATTCCTTTGGAGACGAATGGAGTTCCTTGATGATGCCCCCATGAACTCGGAAAAATCTATTGGATTCGATCAAAATCAATAGGATTCCTTCGGACATCGATCGGATTCCGTAGGAAATCAATGGAACCCAATGGACATGCATAGGATCCCAGAAAATACCACTAGGATTCCTGAATACATATATTGGACCCCTTCGAAAACGATTTGATTCATGAGAACATCCATGGGATCCCTGAGGACGTATAAAGAAATCCCATGGATAGTTATGGGATTCCGAAACATAGCCATAGCAACCCTGAGAGATCCATGGGCTTCTTTGGGCAATTCAGATGATTCCTCTGGGCATGCATAGAAATCCTTACGATACACACTGGAATCCTGAGGACATATATTGGTTTCGTCTGGGAACCCATAGGACTAATTATTTACCATCGGGATCCGATGGATTTCCTGGGCGACGCTATGGTTATCCAAACAATGATGTTTATATATTTATAACGGGTTCCGATGGAATTCGAAGAAATCGTATACAAATTTTCGGAACCACATGCATGTCCCAAGGAATCCGATGGATGACCTGAGAATCCAATGGATTCCTGGAGGATTCGATGGTTTTCCTAAGGGTTCCTATTAATTTCCTCGGGCATCCGATGGCTTTACTAAGGGATTGGATGGATTGCCGAAGGACTCGCTTTCATTCCCAAGGGAGTCCGATGGATTTCCGAAGGATTCATCGATATACACATCGATATTATCATACAACCAAAGGAATATAATGGACTTCCTAAAGCATTCCATATAACTCATTGGGGCATCCATAAGTTCCCTTCGGTAAGTGCAGCGGGTGCCTGATGATATCCATAATATTCCGTAAAACATCCACAGGCTCCCTTAGAACATCGATCGGATTCCTTGGGATATCCATCGGATTCGTTCGGAAATCAATAAGAAGAGTAAGACAAATCCATCGGATTCCTTGGGGCAGCCATAAGATTCCTTCAGAAATCAATTGGAATCCTGAGGAATCCGTGCTTATCAACATAAGAAGAAGAGAAACATCGATTCGCAACTTCCCCCCACGATAATCAAGTTCGGCCTTGCCGCGCCCCTTCCCTGACCAAATCTGCATTGGCCGGGGATATCAACTCTCAGGTGGGAAGGGGGGGTGTACCAATGATTATCCGGGGGACGGGGTTGGGCTCCCCGAGGTCTCGAAGTTCACCATTGTTGGCCTCCCTGTTTCGCTATATGCTGATCGACGTCCCTCCTTCCGACAACTTCCCTGGGCATCGCTTGTGGATGCGCAGGTGGGGACACGCGAAGCGCTAATAATCCCGCTTGCTTCGCATGCCTTCCCCCTCTGCAACGACAGCTGGTGCTCTGCCCATGCCTCTGACTTGACCTCGGAGCAGGGCGAGTTGCGGCAACGGCAATTCAAAACGATCCCCGGACCCCTCCCGGGGCCCGAACGCACCAGTTCTGCGAGCTGCATCCAGCCGTGGCGACGAGGGCCCCCTCCGAAGGTCTGGTCGCAGGTTCCTCCCAATCCATACCAATCGAAGCAACGACGACGACGACGACGACGACGACGACGACAGCGACGCCGACGACGGCAGAAGCGCAGACGCAGGCGTCGACGGCGACGGTCGCCGGCCACCGGCGGCAGCGGCTGGCGGCCTGGCCTCCACGACCAGCCTGCGCGGGGCGGCGCCGACACGTGGCGCCCCCACGGCGCTGGCGCCCTCGCCTCGCGCGGTGCTCCGGACTGCCTTGGCGGCCGCTTCGACAAGGGAGGCGTCGTCGGCATCGCCGCCGTCGCAAGCCGACGTCGCCTGCCGCCGCCGCCGCCGCCATTGTGGTCGTCGCCGCCGCCGCCACCGTCGTCTCCGCCGCAGCCGCCGTCGCCGCTGCTGCCGTCGCCATCGTCGTCGTCGTCGCCTTCGTCGATGGACGAGGTAATTTCCGAGCGTGCCTTTCCCCAAGGCCTCCACAGGTCTCCGAGAGGGCGGGAGGAGGGGGAGGAAGGATGATCGAGGATCGAGGAGACGAAAGCCGAGGAAGGCCATCAAGGACCCTGGGCGCGTCCAGTCTGTGCTGGCCTGCCTAGACCTCCGGAGGCCCCTGGGGACATCCGGAGACCTCCGAACACTGGCGGCGCGCACAGCAGGATGCCGTGAGGGAAACGGCACCCCAGCAAGGCGGCGGCGCCGTCGAACCGCCCCCAGTCTTCCAAGAAGGCTTCTCGGAAGCCTCCTGAGTGGGTTCATGCCCTTCTCGGAAGGCAGCACCCCTCGCCCCACCCTCCTGGCCAGGGGAGGGTGGAATGACACCCAAGGCCTCGAGACTCCAGGAATTTAGCCGGATCTGCATTATATAATAATGGCCCCAGAGCTAGTAGAAGCGGAAACGTGGAGGACGTTCAATCAATTCGACCTCCAAATCCGACTCAGCTCCGAAAAGGAACGACATGACACGGGGCACAGGCTGACGGGCGCGCCACAGGATGTCCCAGGGGCGCAATAGTGGATGCGCCAGGGAACGTGTCAGGGGACGCATCCAGCGACGTGCCCTGGACGTGTCACAGGCAGGGGAAACGCACGGGAACGAGCAAGGAAACGTGAAAGAGGACGAGCCAGTGAAAGTGCCACGCCGAGTGGCGTGCTCGGGGACGTGCCAGGGCACGTCACGCCTGAACGTTGCAAGGGACGCGCCAGGGGGCGCGCCAGGGTGCCAGGGGACGCCCCACGGACGGGCGAGGCTGGACTGCGACGCACATTGCTGCGACAAGCGTTTCGTTCGAGCCATCCTCAACAAAACCCATGTCAGACTTCCGCCTGGGCGACCTGGACACGTGAAACCAAGCGTTTCGCTCGAGACGTTCTCAACACCTCCTCATGCTAGACATCTGCCTGAGCGACCTGGACACGTGAAACCAAGCGTTTCGCTCGAGACATCCTCAACACCTCATGCTAGACATTCACCTGGGCGACCTGGACACATAAAGATGAGAGGATCGCTCGAGACATGCTCCGAACATCTTCATGTTAGACATCCGCCTGGGCGACCTGGACACGTGAAAACACGCGTTTCGCTCAACACATCCTCAACACATCCTCATGCTAGACATCCGCCTGGGCGACCTGGACACGCAAAAACAAGCGCCTCTTTCGAGACATCCTCAACACGTTGTCCTGCTAGATATCTGCATGGACGACCTGGACGCGTAAAAACAAACGTCTCGCTCAAGACCTCCTGCACAAATCCTGATGCTAGACATCTGCCGGGGCAACCGGGAGGCGTGAAACCAAGCGTCTCGCTCGAGACATCTTCAAGACCTGGGCACGTGACAACAAGCATTTCACCTGAGACATTCTCTGAGTTCTGGTCCCAAAGAGAGGAACGATCTATAGCACAAAACATTCGTTCCGCTCGAGACATCCTCAACAAAGTATGCAACATTATCCCAGTGCGACCCTTCCTAGAAGTTGGAGCAACTAGGAAAGCAACATCTACATCAACACCGACAGCTACATGAGCATCTACACCTGCATCTACATCTACATCAACAGCGAGACTCACATCTACATCTACATATACACCTACATCTACACCTACATCTACATCTACATCTACATCAACAGCGAGACTCGCATCGACATCTACATATATGCTATGATATGATATGCTGCGCTATGCTATGCTATGCTATGCTATGCTATGCTATGCTATGCTGCGCTATGTTATGTTATGATATGCTATGCTATGCTGCGCTATGCTATGCTATGCTATAATGTGCTGCGCTACGATATGCTATGATATGCTATTCTATGGTATACTATGCTGTGCTGCGCTGTGCTCTATGCTAAGTTAAGCGATGCGATTATATGCTGTACTATGCAATGCTATGCTGCGCTATGCTATGCTATGCCATGCTATGATATGCTATGATATGCTGCGCTATGCTATGCTGCGCTGTGATATGCAATGTCATGCTGCGCTATGCTGTGCTATGCTATGCTAATGCTGCGCTGCGCTGCGCTAAGCTAAGCTGAGCTAAGCTAAGCTGAGCTAGGCTAGGCTAAGCTAGGCTAGGCTAAGCTCGGGTAAGCTAAGCTAAGTTAAGCTAGGCTAAGCTAAGATGATATAAGCAAAGCTAAGCTAAGGGGGCGCAACTGGGGAAACCGCGGGGCGGATACTGGGGGAACCGCCCGGGCCGGTTCCCACTGCCTGGCCCTTTAAGCCAAGAGAGTGTAAGAACCCTTCTATTCAGAGACAAGGTAGGGAACATGACTGTGTATGGTGAGATATGGTTGCGTCACTGCTTCCCACTGCTTCGGCAATGACGCTGCAAGCGTATCGGCAAGCAAACAAGAACGCATACTTTCTCTGCACCGACGGGGCCCGACAACCATGCTGGCCAAACCCCAAGCTCCGCCAAACTCTCCCCGCAATTTCCCCTCAGCCAACTATGCTATGCTATACTATGCTGCGCTGTGCTATGATGTGTTGTGCTGTGCTGCGCTATGCTATGCTATGCTATGCTGCGCTATGCTATGCTATGCTGGGCTACGCTATGATATGCTGTGCTGCGCTATGCTATGCTACGCTACGCTATGCTGTGCTCTGCTATGCAAAGGTCAGCGAAGCTAAGATGAAGGTAAGCTAAGCTAAGATAAACCTGAGCTGAGATAAAGCTAAGCTAAGCTAAGATGAAATAAGCTAAGCTAAGATGAGATAAGCAACGCTAAGCTAAAGGGACGTAGCTGGGGGAACCGCGGGGCGATACTGGGGGAACCGCCCGGGGCGCTTCCCAGTGCCCGGCCCCTTTTAAGCCCGGAGAGTAAGAACCCTTCTAGGCAGAGCCTAGGTAGGGAACAAGCGTTTCGCTCGAGACATCCGCAACAAACGGAAATGCGTACATTACCATGTGTTTTATCGAATGGAATGTTGAACACGTCTCGCTTGGGATATCCTGAAATCTTAGTCCGCTGGACCTCTTCGATCTCGTCATGGATCAGGAATCCGCCAACCCTCTTCGAACCTTCCTTGACATGAACGGGAAGCGCGTGAAAAGAGACGAGCTTTGCAAGAACGAGCGTGGACCGACTCCAACCTCCCGACTCGCGTTCCCCTATATCAGGTCGAGTTTACGTTCCGCACGAACTCAGACGAGGCGCACCTCCCATTGGCGCATCTCGGCATTATCCGTCTCCACAACCCGAACGTCCCCAATCGCATTCCCCCGTGTCAGGTAGAGTTCACTTTCCGCGCGCTTTCAGACGAGGCGCACCTCCCATTGGCGCTTCTCGGCATTATCCGTCTGTGTGTGTTGTGTGTGTGCACGTGTGTGTGTGTGTTTGTGTGTGTTTGTGTGTGTGTGTCTGCGTGTGTGTTTTGTGTGTATGTGTGTGCGCTTCTCCCCTACAAGGGCTTCGCAAGACAGTGGGGCAACCGCCCCTAACATGTATGTATATATATATATATATATATATATCACATGTGAGTGTCTTACGTTTTGGCACGGACTGCACAGGATCCGCCACCATGCCCTCAGCATGTGGGGGGCGTGTGAGGGATTCCTGTGCGTCGTCTGGAAAGGTTTCTGTAGTTTTCCAAGGCTGACCCCTCCCCCATTTGTGACCATCCTCAAAACATCATCCCACAAATCGTCCAAAGAGAGCTCCCAAACGGCCCGTTACAGTCCCAGGACGGCCCAACGACCCCAATTAAGGCCACATGTAGCCCCGAGACACGCCCAAGAAACCCTGGAAACAACGCCCAAGGAGACATCCGCCTCGGACTGTTGAGAAGGATCAGGCAATTAAACCCAAAGCGATCTCAGCATTTTCACTCGCGACGATTTCCGGCCGAAGATGACTGCAAGAAACCTGGGAGCGACTTGAACTGCCCTGGAGACGTTTCAAATCAACCCCAACACGGCCCAACACATACCCCAAGGTTGTCAAGAGGGCACCGGTGTGACTCCACCCGGCCGAATTGGAACAGCTCGGCAGAACCAACGCGCCCCAAAGCGGTCAAATACGCCCTCAAGGCGCCCCGCAGCCCACGAAAACGCGCTCAAGCGGGCCCAAGGAGGCCCCAGAGAAGCCCCCAAGCAGACTCTCTTAGACGCCGTCGAGAAGGAGGGGGCAGGAAAAAGGGAGATGGCAGTGAGGGCAGTGAGCACGGAGGAGGAAGGAGGATAAGAATAGGACAAGGACGGGCTGCTCAAGACCCGCATCAGTTAAGACGGGGCGCTGAGCTGGAGCGAGTCTTGACTTCGTCCCCCTCGTCCCTGCAGCGCCGATCTGCCTGGCAGTCCTCCGCGGCCGCGAGTGACCGGGACGCCCCACACCGCGTGCACAAGCCGCGCCATCTCTCGGCGACGGCCCCGCAAGATCTGCACCGCCACGACTCCGCCTGGAAGGGAGGGGGTCGCCGTGCCAGCCGGGCGGGAGGCGGGAGTGGAAGGGCAGCGAATCTGTGTCCGTGGCTTAGGAGGCAGCTCCTGGAAGGTCTTCGCTGGAACGATTAAGGGCGTTTCGGCCCGATTACACGGCCACTTCACCGGACCAGGCCAGATCAAGCCCGGGGTCAAGCTGGATCAACCCGTATTCAACGGGATGTAACAAGACTGAGCCGGATTCGCCCACGTTAAACCGGTTATCGACCACGAGCGTACCAGGTGTTGCATCCCAGCGTGGCGCTTTGGCCCAAGACAGGGCCGACTCTGGAAGCCCTGGATCAAGGAATTTACGTGTTCAACTATGGACGCCTTGTTATCCATCGCTCCTGGGCCGACGTCTTCGGACGGTTTTGTTGTCGCTCTTCGGCGGATTTCGGCCCGGTAATCTGATGGTTTCCGGCGGTCTTGGGAGGCTTCCAGCGGCCTTCGGCGCGAAAGCTGGATGGTTGCTTTCATCAAGGGATCCATGTCGAACACCTAAGGGAATGACTACGTATCACTTTCACTCCCACCGCCTTCTGCCAGCCAGGATGCAGGCTCGCGTGTAGCCAAATCTCTGAAACGAGGAGCACTGAAAGGAAAGAAATCCCTCTCAGACAAACGAAGAAAGACACAGGAAAACGAATGAGGACCAGACGAGCACAGGGCCCCCCTGCGGAAACCAACGCGGACCTCGTCCCAAGGCTTTGCTTGAGGGGCCGCCAAGGCACCACGCTTCTTCCCCAGGAGGCACAGAAGGAGCAGACGGTGGCAACGACAAGGACAATCGCCGCCGGGGAGCTGGGAATCTGTCCGTCGCACCTCGCTCGGGGGGGCGCAAGGGTGGGGTAGGGACAGGGGTGGGGTTGGGAGGCGAAGCGCTCCAGACGGACCTGTGGGAAAAGGAAACTTGAGCGTCCAACTGGACTCGCTCCCTGACCCCACCGCGGGACATACCCCCACGAACTACGAACCCCCGAGTCATGGAGTCGGAGGTCATGGCTCCGGAGCTGGGGCCCGCAAGCCGAGGGGCCAGGGCTGGCGCTAGGGGTTTCTGGCCACCTATGCGTGTCCCATAATTCGGCGGGAACAAATCTGGGAAACCCAAGGTCGCCAGATCTGGCGACCTATGGGACTTTCATAATTCTTCGGGAACAATTCTGGGAAACCCATGGGTCGCCAGATTCCCTCAGGCGTTCTGGCGACCTATGGGTTTCCCATAACTCGGCGGGGACAATTCTGGGGAACCCACAGGTCGCCAGGGGATTTGGACATATCCACAAATATGCACATATATATATATATATATGTGTATATATATATATGTATGTATATATCGACATCGGCGCATACAGATGCATCGATGGACATACCTAGGTACATATACATAGGCATACATAGTTGCTTAGATATGTGCGCACGTATGCATGTGTACATATGTATGTACACATGTGTATAGACATACACCTGTACAATCACTTGAATACATGCACCGACATCCAAACATGCACATATACCTACAAAGAAACAAACATACCTGCATGTATGCATGCATACGTACATGCAAAACACACATCCGTGTATACATCCGCCACAATGCCTTCAGTACGTGGTGGAGTGTCCCAAGGCTCTTGCAACTCTATTGCAACAGGAATGTAAAATCTGAAGGGCCTGGATCAAGAAATTCCTGAGCGCTTCCGGGCGCCCCTGGGCGCTCTCGGGGTGTTCCGCGTGGACTTCCGGGACGGTCCTCTCGCGCACGAGATCCCTAAAACTGGCCAAAACTGCCCCTGGAGGCCGCCAAGACAGTCGAAGAGCGCCCAACGTCGACGAAAGATCGCTTTAAGATGCCCAAGATAGCCTCCATACGCCCCAAGAAGCATCAAGGAACACCCTCAGGAGGACCCCAAGAGGCAACTGCATTGATTTGCGAAAGGTTTCAGCCGAACTTGGGCGTTTTCGCCTCGGCTTCCCGACGCCCCAGAACGGCCCACGAGGCCCCCCAACTCGCCCCAAGACGACCTCAGAGGCCCCGAAGAGGGCCCCTAGACAGCCCAAAGGAGCCCTAAGACAGCCAAAGAAGGCCCAAAAACGACCCCAAGAGGTGGCCAAAACGGGGCACCCCGATCGGGCATTTCGAGCCCTCGGCCCCGAAGGGCCCCCAGGAGGCCCAGAGAGGCCCCCAAGAAGCCCCCAAGAGGCCCCAACAAGCCCCCAAGAGGCCCACCAGAGACTCCCAGGAGGCCCCAAAAATACCCCCGAGCGGCCCCCGATAACGCTCCGAAGAGACCCGAATGAGCATCCCATTGAACTCTGACCCACTGTGGCGGGATTGCCGGAGGCCACATCTGTGTGTACATAAAAATAAGAGAGAGAGAGAGAGAGAGAGAGAGAGAGAGAGAGAGAGAGACCATGTCTGTATGTATGTGTATATATACACTAGAACCACGCGCGCGCTTCGCGCGCGCTTAGGTTCTAGCTAGGATCGTCACCGTCGTCATCATGAACATCACCATCGCCATCATTCCCCCCGCCAGGGCTAATCTACATCGTTTCTGGATGCTTCTGGCCGGAATACGAAGGGAGTTTCTGTAGTCAGAGTCTCCGGCGGAAGTCGCGGGGCCCCTCAGGATACTTACGGATGCCTCTGATAGTACTTAAAAAATGATGGACCCGTCATTTTGTACCCGTGCCTTGATCAGTGGGACGGGCTTCGCACCGCCGCACATCACAAGACACGCTCGAGCGGATCCAGCCGTGGCGACGTCGGGGACTGCAGAAGGTCGCAAGGACACGGAATCTGAAAGGAAGAGAGAGAGAGAGAGAGAAAGAGAGAGAAAGAGAGGGAGAGAGAGACAGACAGACAGAGAGCGAAGGAGAGAGAGAGAGAGAGATGGAGTGAGAGAGAGAGGGAGAAACAAAAAAAAAAAAAACAAAAAAAAAACAGAGCGAGAGAGAGAGAGAGGCAGAGAGAGGAAATGGAGAGGAGGCGAGCTTGAGTCAACGAAAGTCGCAGGGAAGGGGGCAAGGGGAAGAAGGCCAGAGAGCGCTGAAGGATACAAATACTGGAACCCTCTTGGGATTTTTGGGGGGGCCTCGTCCGGCCGCTCGCTGGGAGTTTGACGTAGCTTCTCGGGAGCCTCTGAACCTGTCGGGGGCCTCCTGGAAGCAGGTTCGAAGCATTTTGGGGGCCGATTTGGGGCTTCTCGGGGCCTCCTTTGGGCCTCTTGGGGGTCTCCTGGGGCCTCTTGAGGGGCCTCCTCGGGGCCTCCTGGCGGCCTCTTGGGGCGGAAGGCTCGAGCTTGCGGTTCGTGGTCCCCCTCTGGGCCCCCTCTTGGGCCCGTCTTGGGGCCCTCTTGGGCCATCTTGGGCGCCTCTTGGGCCGTCTTGGGGCCCTCTTGGGCTGTCCTGGGGCCCTCTTGGAAGCTTCTTGGGCCGTCTTGGGGCGGTCTTGGGCGCCTCTTGGGCCGTCCTGTAACGTCGGAAAGCCCAAAAGGCAACTTTGTGAAAAACGTACGTTTTACGAAGGGAATGGGCCAATTTTTGCGTCTAGGGGCCCTCTTGGGACGCATGTTGGAGGCTTCTTGGGGCGTCTTGGGGGCGTCCTTGGACGTCTGGAGGCCATCTTCAGCATCTTGGAGCCCTCTTGGAAGTTTCTAGGGCCGTCTTGGGCGCTTCTTGGGCCGTTTTGTCTGACCGGGGAGGCGTCCGGCAAGCCCCGACGAGCCTCCGGGCACCCCGGGGCCCACATTTGTGGTCGAGGTCCCGGCCCCGGGCCCCCGGACCCGGTGCGCCGTTATATGTAGATACATATATATATATATATATATATATATATGTGTGCGAGCAAGTATAATGCATGAATGGATGTATGCACGTATGGTTGTATGTATGTGTATATGTGCATATGTGTGTACGTACGTACGTACACACATATATTTATATATATATATATATAAATAAATAAATAAATAAATAGATAAATAAGAAGATGGCCCCTTGGAGGCACAGTAGGGCACGAGATGGGCCACTAAATTGCATGGGCACCCCAGGCCACGAAATTGCCTGGGCGCCCCAGGCAATTTCGCGTGACTAGTTCTTTGCGGCACGGCGGGACGGACACCCCTGGCAGCCCGCCCAACGGTGCAGGCGTTGGTCAACGACGCCTTCTCATCATTGTCATATTCACACGAACCGTCGGCACCGCGACGATCGGCGTTAGCAGCGCTATGCCTATGCCCAATCAGCGTCGTCGCCGCGGCAAAGACAAACCTGCTCGCCAGCGGCAGCCGACAAGCATGGGGCGCGAAAGCGTCCGCGCGAAATTGCCCGAACGAAATTGCCCGCGCGAAGTGGCCCAACAGTTGCCGCCCAGAATGGCAACACGAAAAATCCCAACATTGATTCCAAGGACTCGTTTGCGAGCGCCCAGCCACGCATGCAAGCGCCCCCCAAAACAAGAAACCACCTGAGACATTCGCACAACAATTTCGTTCGGGCAATACCCCGCGTCATGACAAAACAGGACGGCCAACTAACACGGGATCAATGGACAGCAACGCGCGGCCAGCGGATCCCTCCGCGCGCGGCAGCGCCACCTACGCAGTCAAAGCAACCCCCTTTTCGTTTGGAACGGATTTCGTGCACGCCCCCTTTGCGTTAGCAGGGGCTGGACAGCGCCGATATGCATATATATATATATATAATCCACATCGAGGCAAGAGGTATGGGGATGCCGGGGCGAGAAAAGACAAGAACAGTCGCTGTCAGCGGGGCCGGGAGCTGCGGCATAGGCTGGAGAGCGTTTTTTCACTCCTCCCTGTAACGTCCGTGGCTGGGGGGGGTCTGGCCGCCGCGGGGGGGGGTAACGGTAGCGTGGCGGGCTCGGGCACATTCGTCGCAGTACGCAGTGATGGTTATAGAAGATAGAAATACTAGCATTTGTGGGGCACAGGTAAAAGGCCACAAAGACGAGGAGGACGACGACAACAAACGGCGACGACAACGACAACGGTAACGAAGACGAAAACAACGACGACGACAACGATCAGCCAGGACGACGACGACGACGACGACGACGACGACGACGACGAGGACGACGACTGGCGGCAGCGACGAACCCCCAAACGACCCCACTACACGGTCCGTCACCGCATCGCCTTGGGACCCGGGAGGACCCAATGCGCACGAGACATCCTCGAAGAATCACCCAAGCCCCACAACCGTGCGGTCACCCCGAGTCCCCACTGACTCACCCCTTGGTGTGGTCACCGCACCGTCTGAGGGCCCCTGAGAGACACCAACGCCGCTACTACTCCCCAACCTTGTCCCAACGGGTACGGTCTGAACAGGATTTCGAGGCGAATCCGACAGTGCCGACGAGTGCCCGATAGGAGGCCCAGAGCAGCCAAAGCGGGGGAATGGCGGCGATGTCGGCATCGTCGTCGTAGTCCTCGTCTTCGCCGTGCTCGTCCTCGCCGTCGTCGCCCTCGCCGCGTCGTCCTCGCCGCCCTCGCCTTCGTCCTCGCCGCCCTCGCCCTCGTCCTCGCCGTCCTCGCCGCCCTCGCCCGATCCTCGCCCGATCCTCGCCCTCCTCGTACCGTCCTCGCCGCGTCGTCCCTGGCCCACGCCGCGCCGTCCTCGCCGCAATCGCCGCCCTCGCCCTCGCCCTCGCCCACGCTGCGACGTTCTCGCCGCCCTCGTCCTCGCGCCGCGCCCTCGGGCATCGGGCGCCTCCGCTCTACCGCCCAGGGCCCCCGCGGCCGGCTCCGCGCCCAGCCGCTCGGAGGAGACGCTCTCCAGCCGCTGCGCGCCGCCGCTGGCAGCGCTGTCGAGGGGGGGGGGGGCGCCATCCGCGGCGGGCGCTGCTGCCACGGCAGGCCTACACCACAGGACGGCTTGAGGCAGCCGAGGCAGGCCACCCTGGGCCACCAGGGCGGCCCAGGGTGCTCCCGAGGCGGCCCGAGCTGCCCTCAGAGACGGCCTCAAGATGGCCCCCAAGACCGGCCCGAGAGGGCCACACGACAGGGCCCCAGTGGGGCAAGTCATGCTGCAAGAAATCTGCGTGGGTGCAGAGCAGGCGCGCACGACAAAACGGCCCACGGCAGCCGAGGCGCCGTACGTGGACAAGATGTTCGAACCATGCAGCGCAAGATGCCTCCCCCCAGACCCCCCAAGCTTAAAATTCGCGTTGCGGCAATACGGGGGGGCTTGCGGCAATACGGGGGGGCTTGAGTGGACATTGATTTCGGAGGCGCGGGGGGTGACCAGAATCCCCCTCCACTGAGCAAGGCTAAGAAAATATGATCCATCTACTGCAGGCCACCAGGGCCACAGAGGTGGCACCAGGGTGCCTCTAAGGCGGCCCTAGCAAGCCCCAACACGGCATCAAGATGGCCCCCAAGACGGCCCGAGAGGGCCACAAGAGGGCCAGGTCATGACTTGCCCGTTGGGCAAGTCATGCTGTAAGAAATCTGATAAGGGTCACGTTTGAAGTCGATCTGTGGACTTCCTGAGGTACCCGATGCCCCCTGTTGGTCCCCATGGCCGTCTCAGGGCAAGAGCTCTGCGCGGGGCACCTGCTGTCAGGCAGGTTCCGATTCGACCCGCCTGCTGCAGTAAAACAGCGAGAACGGCCCGAACATCAGCTGTCGGCGGTCGGAGAGTTGGAGGTTGGAGTGTGGTAGTGACCATGGGTAACTAACTACCTGACGGCGCATGCTCGAATCGTAACGATACCAGCCCCCTCCCCTCAGCATGGGGGAAACAGGACCTGAGAGAAACAGGTCCTGGATTCCAGGGCCTTCCCCCACGACGAATTTGTCATCCTGAGTCGTCTTCTCACAATCCAAAGGCCCGTTGAGGACCCCGAGAGCCCGAAAACTGCTAATATAACAAGAAAAACGCAGGACCCTTTTCCCTCAAGACCCGATTCCCCCATGGCGACCCTCCCCTCCCGCTTCCCCCCGACCCCCCAGCATGACAGCGGTGATCGCGAGAGCACAAGGAAAATCGGACCCCTGCGACGGGCAAACTCAGAAAAAGACAGAATGGGGTTGGTATCCGAAAGCATGGCCAGACATCGCACATGATTCAGTTCAAAACAAAGCCACCCGATCTCTGGATACGTACTTCTCTCGGACCGCGGGGTGAGGCTCAGATGTCCTGGGGCTCAGATGCAGCCCAAAAGGGACAAAGTTGAGGAAACACTCTGGGAGTGACTCGGCGGCGAGCGAGGGGGGGAAGTGAGAGGGAGAAGCCCTTCTCAGAAGGCGGCGCGGCTTCTCAGAAACGATCTGGCCGTTTGAAAAGATGTCTTTGTCTTCGGGGAAAACTTAGAGAAACTCTCGGCAGGCCCGAGAACCTCCGAGCCTTCTCAGAAGGTCCGCCCCTTCTTACTTTCCCTCCAGGCTCGCCGCCGAGTAACCAAATCACGACGTCGGAGGCCTGAGAACTGGGCAGTGCTGCGCTGGGTCGTCTCGAAGTGGCCCCCCTGGACCCAGAGGCCAAGAGGTGGAAGGCGGGGCGCAGGGAGGACAGCGTTTTTTGCGTCGCGCTGGCCGCGGGGTGTTTACAGCCGAAAGTGTATAGCACCCCGCAGTTCCGAACTAGACAGTTGGAACGGGCGTGGGGTTGGTCGCGGGTGGGTCGCGGGCGGGTCGCGCAGTGGGCCTCGGGTGGGTCGCGGGGTGGCTCGCGGGAGGGTCGCGGGGTGGGTCTCGGGCGGGTCGCGGGGGGGAATCGCGGGGTGGCTCGCGGGTCGGTCGCGGGTGGGTCGCAGGTGGGTGTGGGTCGCGGGTGGGTCGCGGGGGTGGGTCGCTGGCGGGACGACGACAAACAACAACCAACTAACAACAAGCAACACACAATAAACACCAACCAACAAACAACTACAGACAACAAGCAACAAACACCATTCAACAATAAACAACCAACCAACACCAACCAACAAACAGCAATAAACAATCAACAACACCACCAGCAACATCAATACCAGCAGTAATAACAACCACAAGACCAACATTCCAACCAGCACCAACAACCACTACAACAACAACAGCAGCAACAGCAACAACAACACTCATGTTAAGACTGTTCGCTTGTATCTGCTCGCGGGCCACTCAAAACGTATGACCCAAACCCTCGATACCCGCCCTCTTCGTCTTCAATCGCAACCGCTTGGGGGTGTATACGTAGCACCCCGCAGATGCGGATGAGAGTGAGGGGGCGGTGGGGACGTCGGCAGTCTGCGAGACTCTGGAGAAGCCTGCCACAGGCGCCAAAGTTTCACAAATTATACAACGAGCTCGCCGCAGGCGCCGATCTTTGCTTCGAACCAATCTGGATCGGTCGCGGGTGGGCCGCGGGTGGGTCGCGGGGTAGGTCGCGGGGTGGGTCGCGGGGTGGGTCGCGGGTGGGTCGCAAGTGGGTGGGTCGCGGGTGGGTCGCGGGTGGGTAGCGGGGTGGGTCACGGGGGGTCGCGGGTTGGGTCGCGGTGGGTCGCGGTCGCGGGTTGGGCGGCGTGGGTGGGTCGCGTTGTGGGGGTGGGTCGGGTTGGGTCGCGGTGGGTCGCGGGTGGGTCGCGGGGCGGGGGTCGCGGGTGGCGTCGGTGGGGCTGGGTGGGTCGCGGGTGGGTCGCGGGTGGGTCGCGGGTGGGTCGCGGGGGTCGCGGTGGGTCGCGGGGGTCGCGGTCGCGGTGGGGGCGGATGGGTCGCGGTGGGTCGCGGTGGGTCGCGACGCGGGTGGGTCGCGGGGTGGGTCGCGGGTGGGTCGCGGGTGGGTCGCGCGGTGGGGGTCGCGGGTGGGTCGCGGGTGGGTCGCGGTCGCACGTCGCGGGGCGCGGGTGGGTCGCGGGTCGCGGGTGGGTCGCGGGTGGGTCGCGGGCGCGGGGTGGGTCGGGGTGGGTCGCGGGTTGGGTCGCGGGTGGGTCTCAAGTGGGTCGCGGGTGGGGTCGCGGGGTGGGTCGCGGTATGGGTCGCGGGTGGGTTGCGGGTTGGGTCGCGGGTGGGTCGCGGGTGGTTTGCGGGTGGGACGCGGGTGGGTCGCGGGGTGGGTCGCCTGTGGGTCGCGGGGTGGGTCGCGGGTGGGTCGCGGGGTGGGTCGCGGGGTGGGTCGCGGGGTGGGTCGCGGGCTGGTGGCGCTGTGGGTTGCGGGTGGGCCGCGGGGGGGACGACGACAAACAACGACTACAACACAACCGACGGCAACAACAATAATTTTAAGACTGTTCGCTCCTATCTGCTCACGTGCCAATCAATACATATACCCCAAGCCCTCGGTACCCGCCCTCCTCGTCTTCGATCGTACCCCCTTGGGGGTATATCTTTCTTACCTGCCACATGTATTTTGTGCAGCCCCTTAAACAAAGGAAGAGAGGACGGGTGGAAAGGGGAGTGAGAAGAATGGAGCACGAGAGAAATTAGCAGGAGAGGGGGCGAGGAACAGAAAACAAGTGGTAGAACCAGACGGGCAGATCGGGTGTGCAGACCCATAGCGGGCAGGTCGGGAAGGCGGGCCCAAGCGACGAGGTCGAGCAGGCGGGTTGCTGAAGCGTGGGCCCCGCATGCATTGCGAGGAAGTCTCGAGCGATAGCACGATTTCCAAGTAAATCGTGAGAAAAGCCAGCGGGGGCCACGAAGGGCAATTAATCCGGGGCCACAGAGGGCAGCGACGGGCCGCTGAGGGCAGAAACGGGGCCACGAAGGGCAGAGAGGGGGCCACGAAGGGCGACAGCGGGGCCACGAAGGGCATGCATATGGGGCCACGACGGGCGCGAACGAGCGGGGGCCACGAAGGGCATTAGTATATGGGGCCACAAAGGGCGACAGCGGGGCCACTGAGGGCAGCAAAGAGGCCACGAAGGGCAGCGAGAGGGCCACGAAGGGCGACAGCGGGGCTACGAAGGGCATGCGTATGGGGCCACGACGGGCGCGAACGAGCGGGGGCCACGAAGGGCATATAATGCGGGGCCACAATGGGCAGCGACGGGGCCACTGAGGGCAGCAAAGGGGCCACGAAGGGCAGAGAGCGAAGGCGACCGCGGAACCAGTACGGGCAGCGAGGGGCATCGAAGGCGGGCGAAGGGCAGCGAGCGGCGACTGCAGTCCCTAACGGGCTGGTCGGGCGGGCAGGCCCAGACGGGCCCAGACGGGCGGGTCGTTGAAGCGTAAATTCTGCTTGCGCCGCCAGGCAATATGTAGCGATAGATTCCTGAATGTCGAGGAGCGGCATCATAATAAATTGTGAAGAGGTATCAGGCGGGAGCCGCGATCCGGTGGTAAGTTGCGACGAAATCCGCAGCGAGAGCGCGATTCCTCAATAAATTGTGAAGAAGTATCAAGCGGGAGCCGCGATCTGGTGGTAAATTGCAAGGAAGTCCTAAGCGAAAGCGCGATTCTTCAATACATTGTGAGGAAGACTCAGGCGGGAGCCGTTGTTGTTGTTGTTGTTGTAAACTGGGGGCCAGCGACACAGTTTGACCCTCAAGACTTTCCCTGGTAAAAACACGGTGCGGGCCCGGGGAAGGGCACTTCAATAGAAAAAACCATGTGCACCGAACGGGGGGGATCAACAATAGTCATTCTTCAGAAGTAAGAGTTCAACAACAACAACAACAACAACAACAACAACAACAACAACAGCAACAACAACAACAACAACTACAACTACAACTACAACTACAACTACAACAACAACAACAACAATTACTAGCACGTGGGGACACTCCGTTCTCACCAGTGCCAGGGTTTTCATAGGAGGCGGGCAATACCCCCACTTTGTGGGGGGGCCGGTTCAAGCTCTACCAAATTTCCAAACGACTCTTCGCCACCACCCACACCCAGCTTCCCGCCCTATGACGTTCGGACACTTCACTTCGTGGCATGCGGACGACCGTGGCTACTATTCAGGGCCCCGCGGCCGACGACGACGGCGTGCGCGCGCGAAGAAAAAACGAATGTGTCCCGCATGGTATTATTTGACAGGGATGATGGCCCTGGCAGGTGCGCAACCGTTGTTGCAGAAGTTCGAAAAAGTTGCTCGCAAAAGCCCGTTTGACAGAAATGTTTAAAAAGTGTTGGGTTTCCTACGAATCCGCAAGAGCGCGCGGGATGAAATTTTGACAATTTTTGTTTGAAAAACCATTGGTTTTTTGATGTTTTTATGTTAAAATCGCTACGAAAACTAAGGTTTTGGAAGGATTTCGTCTTGCGCGCGCGAGTGTCCACTTTACCTTATTTTTTGCAAGGGATTCTTGAAGTTTGGTTATGTTAGAACAAGAAATGTCCACTTTAGCTTATTTTTTGCAAGGGAAAACCGATCGTAACAACACAACCGGATCCGGACCAACCCGTTTTGCCTGAGACTTCCTCACGAAAATGATGAAAACGTGGCTGCGGCCTAGGCGCGGCGGGGGGGTCGCGCACCAGGGGCCCCAACAATAATTATTCTTTAGAAGTAATAATCTTCAACAACGTAACATGCATAATCCTCACCACGGCTTCTCACTTCCGCCACGCATCCAGGGACAATGAATGACCGTTCGGCCCCCTCACTCATATTTGCATATTTGTATAGACGTATGCATATGTGTATATAAACATGTTGCCACCAACGTGTATTTCGTGCAGCCCCTAAGGCAGGGGAGTGAAGGACGGACGGAAGGAAGGGACAAGGAACAAAGGGGGGAGAGGAGGATCCATCTGGCCAGGGCCCGAGGCGGTACTACCGAAGATCGGCTCTGAGCTCGTCAAAGCATGTGCCAACACTGGAGTTTACCCATCTGGGTGCAAGTCGCACAGACCCCATCTGGCCAACCTCAATGTCTCATCGCCGGGGCAGGGCGGCATCCACTCATGCGAGTAGCGCCAGGCATCGGGAATTTGCGCGAACGGCGCCCCTCTAAGAGTAAGGACACAGGCTTGCTTGCGCGGCAACGACCACCAAACCATGACTCGGTATGGAACGGCTTTGAGGCCACGCTCTGTGCACGTGCCGCCGCGGCTTTCGCGAATGAGGCAGCGCAATTCTTTGTCGGCTCCGTGACGCCGATCTGGTAGGCCTCGATGCCTGCCTCAAACTTGCACGACGGAGGGGGACACTCAGTCTCGCTCGATTTGGCTGAAAGCTTGACTACCTACCTGACCACCCCAACCCAACCCGAAGATCCGTATTTCGGGTCTTCGGGTTGGGGTCATGTATTTTTCAGTGCTCACCGGCGCCCCCACCCCCCCTCTGGAACTGGAGGGAAAATTAAAGGCCTTCGGGTTGGGCTGGGGTGGTTCGGTCGGTGGTGAAAGCTTGACGTTGAGCGTCGCTCGGTGAAAACCATACCTTGAATCATAATGCCCGGACGTCTGCCTCGACGCCTGCGGCCGCCCCGCGCTGTCAAACACGAGGAGTGCGCACTTTGCCCACTTCTGAAACCAGGTAGCCACCTCTCTCAGACGCCGACGTGGAAGAGGAGGACGAGGAGAACCGTGACATCCGACGACCCGAATGCGTCGCCAGACTTGGGCCCCCAGACCTCTCGACCCATGTATTTTCGAGTCGCCAGAGGTCTGGGTTTGGCAGACTCGTTCCTTGACGACTTGTGTATTGGTCTCGGACACACCGCGGACCTTTTGCCCTCGAACGATCGCGGCTTTCCGATAGCGCAAACCCGCCCGATGTCGACCAGTTCCAGACCACTGTCGGGGTTCAACCTTGAAAGCCCGCGATGGGGTCGCCACCGCGTCGACACGACACGACACTGCCATACCAGAGGGACGAGGAGGGGTGAGGGGCAGCAGGACACAGAAGACGCCCATGCTCAGAGGGAAGCGCGCGAAGGAGACCCGCGCGCCAAGGCCTGGACACCGACACCAGCGAGTCATCGTCAACGGCAACTTCCTCCGGTGCCGTCGTCAACGGCAGGAGGCGCATCCGAGCCTGGCGGGTGTACGCGCCGCGCTGAGACGGCATGCAGCCGGCGCAACCACAGCTCAAGGTCGTATTTGTTCCCGCATAACACCACTGCCAAAGTAAGCTCATAGATCCTCTGGTTTGTCTTCGTCGCCAGGGGAGAGGCTGAAGGCGTGTGAGACATGACAGAAGATACGTCTTACTTGAATGCGTAGCTGCGCGTTGTCCTGTACCCGACTCTCCCAGGCGAGAGATGAAGAAAACTCATTGGTGCTTGAGATGCAGGAAACTCAACAGCTCAAGGACTCATGATCCGCGCAGCGAGCCAGGACAAGATCGTTACAACCGCAGGACACAGCACCTTGTCATGCATCCCGCCCCCATCTCCCCTTCCTGCGTCCCTGCTGCCTGGCCTTCCCCACTCCTCCTCCCACCCCACCGTCACCTTCAACTCCAACTCCAACTGGTTCTTCTCCTCCTCTTCATCATGATCCTTCTCCTCCACTCTCCCTCCCCATCCGATGCCCCCCCACCCCCCATCGCTCCTTGCACTTACTCCACTCCTGTCCCTCCCTCCATCCTGTCCCCTCCTGCTCGTCCTGAAACTCCCCCCCCTCCTGTTTTTCATCCAACCAACAAGCCACAACCCTCGCTGCTGCTGCTGCCCTCTTCCAACGGTTTCTCTTCCTTCTCGTCCCTCTTCCTGACACCACGGCCATTCCTCGTTCATAGTCCACCCTCCACCTCTACAACCAAGTACGGCGACAACTGATAACATCTCTCCCCTGAATCTGTGTTGGCGTGGTACCGCCAATCCCATAAATTTATTGTTGCATGCGGTGCTAGACACATGTTGCTTCAGTGAGAACGATCCCCGCCATTGAGAAGTGGTGCGCCCGCTGCAAAGCCGGCTATATTTCTGGACCGGAATTTTGCTCCCGTCGTTCAAAAGTGCGCTCTTGCCCAAGCGCGTGCCCCATCTCTGGATCCGATTCCATCCTGCTCGTCGTTGCCGCCCCGTCCTTCCCACTACTCCGCATTCCTCTGGTCCTCACGGTCCTCCTGCTCCTTCTCCTCCTACACATCCTGATCCTGCTGATGCTGATCATCCTCCTCCTCGTCCTCCTCCCCCCCCTCCCAAATCATCCGCTTCCGTCTGGAAATCCTCGTGCTCATCTACCGTATCCTGCTCCGACGTACAACGGCCCCAGTGCCTATTGCGCATCACACGATTCGGAGACTTGACGAGGAAAACTCCAGAGTCTGCCGATGCAAACGGATTCGGCACAATATGAAGGGATGGGTAAGCCCCGATGATCAGGGAGTGGTTGAGCGCCCGAGTTATACAGGATACCTCCGACATGGGGCAACTCTTGTTTCGCCCCCCCCCCCCCCCCCTGACCACCCCCAGCCCTGATGATCAGGGGCCCTCACCCTCCCCTCAGCCTGACAAGCCAGAAGGCGATCTCAGTCGTATGCGTACTTCGAAACTGAAGCGATCCTTCAGATGGTCATCGCAACCCAGGGACGCGCAAATCAATAGCCACACGTCCCAAGATTACCCATATTTTTCAAGATCTTCTGGATGTTCGTCTCCCCCTCCATTTCCAAAATCTTCCCATATGTTCCTGGGGATCGACGTTTGATGGTGTCCGTGCGCTGTTTCCCTCCTGACAATCGAAAGGGTTTGCTTCGAGCTGGCAATATAAGGGAGTTCCTACCTGGAGCTGCAACTGGCCGAGGCCTCCTCCGGGCCTGGCGGGTTGAGCCGGAGCCCTCGGCGACAGAGACAAGCGAGCCCAGGCCTCAGACGTTGCGACGCTTTTTGTCGCAGAGTGTGCCCCCAGGTGGCTCGAGGAAGAAAATCTGCATGGGCACCAGATTTCGGAGCTCCGCGCCGATTCCTTGGATCGGCGCTGAAGGCCATTGCGCTCCCTGGCGCGCCGAGCGCGCCAGGGGCGGCGCTGGAGGCGCCGCCAGGGATGTCCAGCGCAGATCCAAGAAATCCGCGCGGACCTCCGAGAGGCTGGGTCTGCGTAGTTGTCCTCCTTCGCGATACCTGGGGTCGGGGGGTAGGATCGGGGTGACACGGAGACCCCCCGCCAGGAAATCGGTTTCGGTTTCGGGCTCGTGTGTAGGCAAGCGCGTTCCGCTACTCGCAAAGTCACTACTCGCAAGTGGCCTGGATCAGCCGCGAAGGATTTACGACAAATTGCATCGAGGGGATCGTGTGATTGTTGGACGATTGCGAGTAGGCAATTTGCGAGTAGTGGAACGCGCTCGGCGAGTGTGGGCGAGGCGAAGCTTCGTGCGCGAGCGAGGGGAAGTGACCGCGCCGCCGCTGAAGCGAAGTTGGAGCACATGCGTCTCCGCCCCAGGTTGGCGGATTTGGGGCCCGGGTCGTCCCGCGGTTAACCCGATGGTTGTCCCGATGGTCGTCCCGATGGTTGCTCCGATGGACGTCCCGATTGCTGCCCCGACGGTTGTCCCGACGGCCGTCCCGATGGTCGCCGAGTGGCCCGATGGCTGTCCCGGTGGTTACCCCGAAAATTGTCCCGATGAGTTCCTTCATGGCTGTCCCAATGGTTGTCCCTATGGTAGATAGACAGTGATGCCACAGGTCAACACAAATACTGGCACTGAGGGCGGTCAATAGAAAGTGGTATAGAAGAAGGTACAGTCAGGTCGACGGATCGTCGTTAACTAGCGCGGGCCAAGAATGGCGGTTTATGGCACACTACGTGCTGCAATGTCTGTGGAGCAAGCTGCGTGGCGCAAGCAGTGGGGTGTATGACATGTGATGAAACAAACGTGGTGCAATATTTTGGTGGAGCTACGTAATGCAATATGCGCAATTATGGTTTCACGCTGGCGGTTAGCCGCTGCGTGGCAGCGTCCCTGCTTGGCCGAGGGTCCACTGCTCCCGTGCTCTGCAACACCAGGTACCTCACTCGGAGCGCGACTACGCCGTCTACTGTCCCGTGCGTGTAGCAGCGGCTGTGACATCGCGAGTGTCACAGATACATGTGTTTCGTATCAGCTCACGCGTTCTCACTGCATCAGCCGCGCTCTGGAAGATCGCCAATGCAGCGCGCCTGCACCTCGGCAGGACCCACCCATACAATGCGATCGGAACGCTTGCGCAGATTACCGATACTCGTTTACACCATGGCTCGAGTCCATGACGTAGCGATTGATTGTGGCGTCTTCTCCCTCGGGGCACCACGAGCCGAGCGGCCCGCCCGGGCCCCAGCCCAGGCGTGGCATCCATCGTGGCAAGAGATCGGCAGACACACACAACTAGGTGCCCTTCGCACACGCGACCTCCACGATAGGAGCGGTGAGCCCTGCAGCACCACTCGCATTGTGCTCTGTAGCAGCAGTGGCGTCGTGCAAGCGCGTGCACCGGCAGCGCCCTGCAGGTACAGAGATTCGCCAGTGTACCTTCTGAGGGAATCGTACGAGCCTGAAACGGCAGCAGATGTTGGTGATTGAGGTGACAGTTGCGAAGGCGGCGGTGGTGACTGTTCAGATGGCGAAGGATCTGTGTTCATGTCATCCAGTAGGCGTGCTCCTGGCGCACCAGGCGCGCACAAGAGAATCGCCCGTGAAGGACACCTGCACAGCGGCAGGGCACACGCTGAGGGTGCGACGGAGACTCGCCTGCTAAGCGTGCTCTGTAGCGGCCGAGGAACATCGCCGGGCTCTGTAGCAACATGTGCTCCGTGGCAGCGAGTGCTGTACCTGGCGAGGGCGCATGCTTAATATGCTCTGCCGGCGCGCGCGATGCTGCATAGCATGCGTGATGCAAGTTGCGTGGCCGCGGCTTAACTCTTGGAGCGCGCCACCACGTGGTCTCGCCCTCCAGACCCATGAGAACCGCGCAAGTGGTGACGGGGGTCGCCTACCTCATTCCCCAGTCCGCGATGGAGATGCTGCTGTGGGTCTGAGATCTCTCGCAGCCAAGGATAAGCGCGCTAAAGTGTGAAATGGTCCCCGTCGCGATGTTGCGTAATGTGTTTCAGTTGCGTAATATTGTTGCATTATGTTCATTGCGTCGTGGTTTTGCGAAATGTGTTTCGCATTGTTTTGGCGTGACGTTTTTGTGTCGTGCTTTTGCGTGGTGTGTTTGTTTAGTCTTCTCGCGAACGGCTTGCGTAGTGGGCTTGGTAGAATACGCGCGTAATGTCTTCCGCGTGCTGTATTTCGCTTAGCGTTTTTGGCGTGGCGAATGGACGCAACGATTTCGCGTGAAGTCAGCGCGTAATGTGTCCGCATCTTGTTTTTGCCCAGTGCTTTCGCGCCATGTATTGCCCTGATCAACCCACGAATCCGAAAGGGACTCAGAACTGCGAGGCATGGGGGCGCTTCCCACCAACTCGATCGGGCGATGGGCGCTGGCTGTGCTGGAGGTACCCGTGGTAACGCTACTATGCCGAGGGCTGTGTTATGGTCAACTGCACTGCGCCGCGCCGCGCCTTACGTCGGCGCGCCATTCGGAAACGCGACGTAAACAAAAACACTGCGCAGAAAAAGGGGGGCCGCACGCAAACACTGCGGCCGGCGCGCCTCCATCCAGCGGCGCCCGAATTCGCAGGGGGCGCCCCGCTGGAGCGCCGCAGGAACGCGTCGCCATCGGCGCGCTACCCGAAACCACTACGTAAAGACACAATGCGGAAACAGAAAAACACGCGCAGACACTGGGGTCGCCCGCGTCTTTCGCCAGCGTCGCCTGAGTTCGCAGGGGGCCGGCAGCTGGAGCGCTGCAGGGGCGCTCCGCGGCGGCGCGCTACTCAAAAACACTACGTGCAAAACGCGACGCAGAACAGAAACATCTCCCGCGCCGCGGGGGCGCCCTGGGAGCGTCGCGACAGCGCCCTGGGGCAATTGTACGTACTGTCTGTTCGTAGTGTTTTTTTTTTTGCGTCGCGTTTGTTTAACGTGCTGGTCTCTACGTTGTCTATCTCGCGATTCAAATTCTGCTTTTCCCCACTCACGCTTTTATTTCGCCATGCAGCAGAACCATC